TGTGTGTGTGTGTGTGTGTGTGTGTGTGTGTGTGTATAAAAAGTGGGGGTTAGAAGACGAGGTCAAGGATGGTGGTGCACATGCTCCTTCTCTGGTGATGTGTTGGGAAGGATGCACCTTTCCCCAGCTCAGTGCTAATTCATTACATTTAAGACAGGGCCTGACACCCTGAATCAGCCTCTATTCAGACCATATTGGCTGGCCAGGGTGGTGGGAGGGTGTGTGTAGCTGAAGGGAGGAAGGGGGAGGTAAACACAAAGGAGGAGAAAGCACGGAGCGGAGAAAACAGAGAGTGACTACATGGAAATTATATGCAATGAAGAGACGTAGCCTCAGGCATGGTGCATGTTTTGCCTGTTTTCTTATAGTTAGTGTATTTATAATTCAAATATATGCCTTTAATAATTTACAGACAGGACATATCAAAAGAAAATGTGTGAGATATTTCTGAGCAATGTGCTGAAAATATTTCACTTTTTAAGCAAACACTTAATCACACGAATGTGATTAAAGGTGATTGCTAACTGAAAATGTGGATACGTTTCATGGTTTAATAATTAATATACTGATTTAGAGTTTATTATACATATTTCTATACATTTTATCAAGTGTGAGAGCAAAATATTTCACTAAGTCTATATCTTATCTGTTTCCTTGTGTGTTCTTTCTCTACAATCAACAACCATCCTTTCAATCCACTTTAAAGTAGGGGCACAGTGAGGATCCTGAGTCAAATCTGGCATCATTTTTATAGTGTGGACTCATTTTTGGGGTTCTTTCGTAAAGGCAAATGGACTGGTTCTTATATAGTGCTTTTCTACACGGTGAATATATGATGTCATGTAATGATGTCAAGGCTGTAAGCTCATGCTTGAATTCTGATCACAGTCCTGGTGACAGAAAGAGTTAGCAATGAAATAAACCTTTGGGAGGTTTTAGAATAGAGCATACAAACAGTAGTTCCATGTAAAGGAAGGAATTCATGTCTGTCAACAGTGGCATGTATCCCTGATGGTGAGGTGTCTGTACAGAGGTCCATTGATCCTGAAAGACAGCACTCAGCACAGCCACAACCTGTTCTTTATTCTGCTTTTTATTTGTGCCTTACCATGTCTGCTGGCTCTATCATTTCTAACTCATCTCTGTCTGACCCAGCAACATTTAATAACTCAGTCAAAGCATCTAACAGCATCACTTAGGGGTGCAGGTAGAGCACGTCATCTACTATTCAGAAGTTTGATGGTTTGATCCCTGCCTGCTCTGGTCTGTATGCCAAATATAGTTAGCAAGATGCTAACCCCAACTATACTAAACCATGCTAACACCTCTGAAGCATCAATCAGAGTGTGAAAATTAGACAGAAACTACTTATGCATTAGCTAAAAAGTGGGTGTATGAATGAGTGAATGAGGCATGTTATATAAAGTGCTTTGTGTGGTCAGACTATAAAAGAAACACTATTTACCGACTTGTGCAGGTACCACACAGGCAACCTTCAAACATATTGTGTCTGACACAGATGTCTGTAGGCAACTGCCAGTTTAAGGGACTATGTGGTATGGTAAATGGTAAATGGCCTGCATTTGTATAGCGCTTTTCTAGTCCTTATGGACCCCAAAGCGCTTTACACTACATTCAGTCATTCACCCATTCACACACACATTCACACACTGGCGATAGCAAGCTACATTGTAGCCACAGCTGCCCTGGGGCGCACTGACAGAGGCGAGGCTGCCGGACACAGGCGCCACCAGGCCCTCTGACCACCACCATGTGATGGGAAACCAATGTGGACTAATCTCTGGAAAGTTGCTTGTATAGTAAAATCACACAGATAATAAAGGCAATTAATATTTTAACGCAAGGCAGTAATGTGTTCAGCACTTGAACTGTTGTTCAGTAAGACTCTTATTCTGTCAACTCAACAGACTGACCTTTGACTTCTGACTTGCACACCAAAAAGGTAAAAAAGAGAATAGAAAATCAA